AACCGACTGCGCCACCCAGGCGCCCCAGAAAGCCAATATATTTTTAAACTAAAGCAGAAAGGTAGATTCTGAGGGAAAATTCAAAGAGCATATTGAAGGAGAAAAAAACCTGTTTCTCTCCCCGAGTTCTCTAATATCAACTAGCTTTTTTTCCTGCTACAAATGAGCCATTTATAATTCAATTTGTCCACTCACACCTACTGAAATCACTAACTTTTGTCCCAAAGGAGTCTTGTTGGACTTACAAACTGGAAAGTCAACATTAACACAAGGTATCCCAGTGGTCCAGGAGGAGGTTCAGCTCATCAAAGGTCTATTACCTTAATCTGGGTTAACACCCAAGCTATCCGGCTTTCCATTTCACTAGCCGGCATTGGGCTTATTTACTTTCTAGTCAACAATTTGAGGTCCTGTGGACTTTTACCTGGAACACATCCTGCGGTCCCTCAAGGAAGCCCTTCTACACCTTAGACATCTGGCTGCTACCCCTGCTCCTGGGAAGACTGGGGGAGGGGTGAGTCAGCCTGTCTTATGCTGTGGCCTGGCGACATCACAACAAGATACATCAGTCCTGCCTACAGCCCTCAGCCAGTGCCAGAGGGTAGGGAGAAAATATCTGGTTTCTGCAGAGAGCAGAGACCCAAGAAAGCATGTTTTAGGCCAGGACTAGAACATTCAAAGAAACCACTGTAAAAGTCACAGTGTTGGTTATGAAGCAAGGTGCAATGAGCAGGTAAGTCATGAGGCCCTGGACTTGTAACTTCCCTGTAAAAGGACCTTCACTGGAGTGCCTGGTGGCTCAGTCGGTTAGATGTCCAACTTCTGCTCAGGTCATGATCATGCAGTTTGTGAGTTCAGGCCCCGCGTTGGGCTTTGTGCTGATGGCTCAGAGACTGGAGCCTGCTTCAGATTCTGTGTCTCCTCCTCTCTCTGCCCCTCCCATGCTCGTGCTGTGTCTGCCTCTGTCTCTCAATAATAAAATAAAACGTTAAACATTTTTTTTTAAAAAAAGGACCTTCACCAACGCTTCTACCCAAGCTCCTCACACTGTAACCTCATATATATATCTTGCCCTTTCACAAATAATACTAAAAGGTGTCAGGGATAGGAACGGAGGTGAGGAGGGATAACAATGGGCACCTAAAAGGGAAAAGCCTTGGCCTGAGAAGGAAAGTCCCCAGGGCTAGCCAGTGGCCAGACACAGAGATGGAGGGACTTTTCTGTTAGGGGAAGTCCATGCTGTCACACTGTCCTTGTAAAGAAAAAAAAAAAAAAAAGGAATGTTTTCCTGAAACTGCTTATCTAATCACACAGGAAGTACTGAAACGAGGTTCCATTTGCCACAAAAGAATAACTCTTTTAAAAATCAAAGCTGAACAATGGCCAAGACCCAGCCCATGATCCTGTGAGGCTTGTACCTTTTCAAAGAAAGTATATTGTCAGTTTAGAGATCAAAGCAACTGAGGTCCAGGAAAAGCCATGGATGTTCAACAGGCCATATCCTTTGGGAGGTAGGGGAGAGAAAATCTGCTTAAAGAAAATCACACCTATCCAAGTGTTCCCTTAAGTGGTACTTGTTAGTTTTTGGCCTACTTGTGCTTCATGGATGCCCTACTTTTCTCCCAAGGTCCTCTCTGCTCCTTGTGATGTTCGAGGCTGATATGGAGACACATTAGTTATAAGACCCCTTTAGAGATCACTTCGTTTATGGTTTCTAAAGTTGATGACCCTTCAGGAGCCAGATGGATATTGGGGTTATGGGGTTATGGGAAACAGCTGAGAGGGGATGGTGGCTACTGGTAATATCATAGAGGAGAGTGGGGAATGTGGTGAACTGGGGAGCCAATGCACACAAGGCTTTCAAACTATGGAAACACACACAATCCCGGGCCGGTCAAGAACATGCATCCACTGGCCAAATTGGGCCCAGAGGCCTCCAATTTGCAACCTCTGATTCATCTTCTATAACAGAAAAGGACACTGGAGGCTCCAAAAGAGAAAGTGATTTTTCCAAGATCACTCAATTTATAAGCAGATCTGGAATCCGGACCTCCTGACTCTCCCTGAATACGTGAAAATGGCACTCATAGTCCTGCCTTAGGCGAGGAAGATGATTCTTAGGTAATCTTTCCCTTTTGGGGCCATTCCATCCCTTACTCCAGCCCAACCCTTTTCCTGCCAATTGCTGCTATTCATTGGCACGATGCTTCCCATGCCGAGCGGTCTCACCACCTGATGCCTTAGACATCTGCCAGCTGCAATAACAGCCTTTCCCCTCCTACTGTGCCAAGTTCCTATTCACATGACACCATGCAGCTGGGAGCCAGATTTGTCCAAAAAGATTTTTTTTTTCCCTCAGCTTTGTGATATTGTTCTCTAACTAGAGGCAGGAGTATAAACAAGAAGGGTTGAAAGAATTCAGTCTGCTTTCTGTTTGAGGCTGAGTTGGAATTTATAAATGCATTTAGCCTCCAGAGCTGCTTTTGTGGGTTCCTTTTGGAAATGTGGAGGGTGTGGAAGTCCACAGCAAGCCACCCTTTCTTTCCCTTCAGCTTTTTGCTTTCCCGCACGACTCATAAAGGGGCTAGCCTTGGGAAGGGAAGAGTGTGGAGTGGCAATGGCCTCCAGCCCAGCACTTTTTCTGGACTGTCCTTGTGGACAGGTTGCACAGGGGAGGGAAAGAACACCAATAGAAAGATATCCCTGTATTCAAACTACTACTTGCCCAGCCTGACAGTTGCCCTAGATCCCACCATTTGAATGGCTTCCTTTGGGTGAAGGCGCAGAAAGTCTATGCTTACACGATTTTCTTTGGAAGAGAACAAAATTAAATATCAGTAGGGGTGCTTGGCTCAGTGGTTAAGCGTCTAACTTCAGCTCAGGTCATGATCTCACAGTACATGGGTTTGAGCTCCGAGTCGGGCTTTGTGCTGACAGTGCAGAGCCTGGAGCCTGCTATGAGTTTTGTGTCTCCCTCTCTCTCTCCCCCTCTGACACTCATGCTCTGTCTCTGTCTCTCAAAAATAAATAAATACTAACAATTTTTTAAATAAAAAATAATAAAATAATAAAATATCACCAGTCCCTAACACCTTAGCATTAGGTTAATTGATCAGATTTAGCAAGAGTATACAACTGAGGCAATGAGATATAGAATAGATAAACTTTGATGGGAGGGGTGGTGGGAAGGGAAGAACTTGGAGTGTTTCTCAATGGGAGTGACACTGGTATTTTGGGCAGACAATTCTTTCTCACGTAGGTTTATCCTACATACAGCAAGATATTCAATATCTCTAGCCACCACCTACTAACTGCCCGTTATAGATTTCATTTATAACAATTAAACCAACACACCCTTCATTTTCAAGTGCATGTGAGGAAATGATACACCCCCACCCTGCCAACATTTAAAAAGCATTTGATATAATGGTATTTGTTAAGGAGAGGCCAGGTGGGGAGAATCTGAACATCCACAGAATATGATGACATTAGGTTCTGGAAGGAAGTTGTCCACATTAAATGTATGTTGGGGAGATGAAAATGGCAAAGGGTTCCATCCAGTATGGATGTTATAGAAGAGTTAGTACTGTCTGTGAGACCTATGCTAAGTAGGATCAATGCCTGTTCTGTTCATGGGCAGGTGAGATCTCTTTAGTTTTACCAGTTAGTGTCTGGGTGGAAGAGGAGGAAATTGGTGTGATCAGAGGGGCACAAAACCGCCCCAGATTTCCATGCTAACTTGCCTGTTCCAGGGCCTAGAGTCTTCAACTAAGTGTCCTTGATGAAGGATTGATCATCTAAAACTGTCCATGTCTTCCAAGAGGAAGGCTTCTCTAAAAGGAGGGACTTGCTAATAAATATCCTGGCCCTCCTGGTCGGAAGACTTATGGGATACCTTTGCAGTCCCCATTCACCAAAGGAACCCCTTGGAGGGGATAGTCAGTAAGAGATAACACCCTCCCCTGGGTGCTGAGAAACACTATATCTTGGAGTCAACTGATCCTTTAACACAATGATGTTGGGGTAGGAGAAGAATATGAGCCTATGGCAAGAGTTGGCCACTTCCGTGATCAAGGCAGCAGTATATCCCTGAGCCTTTTGGAGGAGGCTAAAAAGAATTCCAGACATGGGCACGAGAAGGCAAACTCAAGACTATCCCAGTTTTGCCAAGAGCTTGTGCTGATTTGGACCTTTATCAAATTTGAACCATACCATCCCACTCCTAAAGGCTGGTGTCATTGCCCTAGATATTCCAAACAATGAAGGGGTCCAGTAGTACACCAATAGGTGTTCTTACCTGAGAGGTCCAGCTACATCTTCCCCGAGCGTCTCTTGCATGCGCCATATTTAGACACTGACTGACTGCCTTTTCCTCCATACCCTCAGTATTGAGGCACGGGCTGTGCTGTGTTTGAGCAGAAATGGGTGGATCTGAGAGCTGAATGCTACATGGTAAACTGCCACATCAACCCAGGAGTTGAATTGAATCACTCAGTGATCAGTCTGGCAACATCTTACGCCCATAAATCATAGAATTGTCTAATGGCACAGCTGTCTCTTTTTATCATCCCCCAAATGTTCACCAGCCCTTCCTAGATTAACATGCTACATGCTTTACTGAATTCTGGAAGCATGGACGTACTCACAGAAGAAATGAATTTGAAATAGAGGCCAAATCCCATTTTGAAAAATACCATCTCAACTGAAGAGGTCTACAACTTCATTGTTGAGCAGACTTTCTGTTCAGCAATAGGAGCAGGCAGAGAAGCCTGACCCTTGTCTTTAGACACAGGGACCTGGCAGTCAGTGGAACAGGAAACTAATCCTGGGCCAGGATTCCCCCAAGAGCTCTGCCCCAGCTGTTAAGCTATACTAAATGTTTCTTGTAGGGCTGGATTCCCTAGTGCCTATGATTCAGAGGGTATTGATGGGATGGGGATTTTGCAAAATCACCATTTTGTAAGTAATGATACACTTTGAATTGAATTCATTGAATTACACATTCAATTACTACACTTTCATTGAATGGCTACTACATGGAAGGCTTCTCAGTGCTTTACAAGCATCGTCTCATTTATTTTTTATTTTTTTTTT